CTGGGTCCCATCTTGGTGCGCAAGAGCTGCCTCAGCTGGGTCCTGAGTGCCTGTTCCCTGGCTCTGGCCAATCCACTTGCAACTTCTGTGGAGCCTCTCTGTGGGGTGGGGCCTCACTACAGAGCCCTCCAGGTTCTTGGCCTACCTCTGCAGCCCTGTGGTCTCTGGCCTCTGAGGATGGGCTAGGAGGTTTTGGTGTTTTGGATTCTGGCTAGACTTGCCTACTTGGCTTGAAAAGCTTTTAATGTTTTGGTAAAATACACACGACATAAATTTTTACCACTGTAGCCATTTTATTTATTTATTATTTATTTATTTATTTATTATTTATTATTTATTATTGTCGAGGCAGGGTTTCCCTGCAGCCCTAGCTGGTGTTGATTGCACAGAGATCTGCCTGCCTCTGCCTCCCAAGTACTGGGATTAAAAGTGTGCCACCACACCTAGCCCTTATTTTTAAGGCAGATCTTCCTGCTGTGTAGCTGAGGCTTGCCTTAGACTCATGATCAGTTAAGGGCTGGTAATGGGACTGGGAGGACATACAGTTCTAAAGCCTCTTAGTGACCGCATTGGCTTGGAGGGTATTGTGGATGAGGTTGGGGGCCAGGACGATGGGGTCTCAGGCAGTCCTGATGAGCCTGGGACCCCATGGGAGTCATGTAAAGGGGGTGAGGTGAAAGTGTTGGAAGAGGGACTCCTAACTTCTGGGCGTTCTCTGTGAGTGCGGCTGGGCAGGAGCGGAGCCGGGATCATCCGGGTTTGCCCCTCTCCAGCCCCCTCCTCCCCTGCCATAACATGATGTTCTGGGGGCTCTTAGCCTCTCTGTTGCCTTCTCAGGTCTGGAGTTACCTGTGGTTTCAAGTCTGTCCTTTCAGAGCCTTTACCTCTGCAGCCCGCCTCCTCTTCATGCTGCGCCTGATTGAACAGTGTCCCCTCCACACTCGAGTCCCCCAGAACCTCAGAATGTGACGTTACTTGGCAATAGCAGGTTTGAAGATGTAATCAATTAAGTCATGTGGAGGTCAGACTGGATTAGGGTGGCCCTTCATTCCAACAGCTGAGCTCCTCACAGTAAGGCCACAAGAAGACACAGCCAGTAAAGAGAGTGCCATGAACTGGCAGAGGCAGGAGCCACATGCCCACAAGGAAGGCTGCTTGGAAGGCCCCTTCTTCTGGGCCTTCAGGGGAGCTGCCCCCAACACACAAGTGTGGATTTCTGCTTTGGGCAGACTGTATCCTGGGATTAAAGGTATGCGCCACCATGCCCAGCTGGACTGTCTCTATTGTTCCATTATTTCTTATATATTTTCCATCTTTGGTCCAGCTGGTTCTAGACTTCCCCTTGGTCTGAGCACTTGGGGATGAGCTGTGGGAAGGCATGTTTCCCTCCATGCCTGTCCTTTCTGCTGGGCTCATTCTGTGGCTTCCCTGGACCACGGAGTCTGTGCCAACAATGTGGGACTCAGGTCATTGGCCTCTGTCCCATGTCCCTTCGTGGCACACTGGCCGCCATGGCGTCCCTGTGTTGCATCTTTAGAGGGTGTGTGGTGTGTCTCTCATGTGGGCCATCTTTACTAGCAGATCCAATGACACCCTAGACTCCTCATGACACAAGTTGATGCATTTTCCTTTTAAACAGCAACAGAACCCAACACCATGGAAACCAGGTCAGAGAGAATGAACACCCTTCTGCTGACCACGTAAGGAAAAATGCCTGCCGACCCCTGCAGCCTTCACAGGTAGCCTGAGTGTTGCCTTGGAAACCCAGGGACAGGTCTCTATGGCCTGGCTGTGCCCGGGCTAAAGACCAGAAACATGTTAAATGTCCTAAGAAGTGGGGGGAAGGGAGGTCAGAGTGGCCAGCTGGGGTAGCAGTGAGGGCTGGCACCAAAGCCACAGTTCTGTGCTTTTCCAAGAGTCCTGGTCTCCAGGATGAGAAGAGAAAGGGGCTGGCCCGACACCCTCAGGGAGCCATTCACCCATTCCCACAGAGGAATTTTAGGAGTCACAGGGATTCTTGCCTGAATGACAAGGCAAGATGCTTTCTCCACATTCTGGGGACCCCACACTGAAGGAACCCAACACTGTTTGCAAAATGGATGGATTGAAAACACGGAATGCCAACAGCGTCGTGCTTTCGTCTTTACGTGTCTGTTTCCCGTCAGTCCTTCCCGCTTGTCCCTGGCTTGCTTTCCATTCAGTTACCTGTGGTCAACGTTGGAAATACTAAATGGAAAATTCTAGAAATAAGTAATTGTATATCTTAGTACCAAGAAGAAACCTTGGGCCATTCTTCCCCATCCTGCCCAAGACATGAATCATGCTTTGTCCAGTGTACCCACATTGCATATGGTACCCACCCACGTGTAACTCAGTTTCAGAGAGACCGTCACAGAACTGCTGCGGAACTGGGTTCTGGGGCCCTGTGCTGTGTCCTGCCTGGTCACAGCACCTGTGTCACCCACTTCATCTTGTTCCACAGGCCTTGGGTCATCACAGGTCACCACCAGAAGATGGGTTATCACAGCACAATCATGTATTTGAGAGGAGACCGACTATATCACAGCTTGTATTACAACATATGGTACTTATTCCATTTTATTATTGGTTATTGACATTAAATTTTTATTATGCCTAATTTATAAATCTTATTCATAGGCATGTACATACAGGAAAAACATAGGTACAGTTACACTGATGTCACATGTGTGCATGTGTGTCTGTATGTATGCCCACCATAATGGTTAATTGAGATTGTCAACATGGGGAGATTCGGAATCACCTAGGAGATACACCTTTGGAGATGTCTGTGAGGGCATTTCCAGAGAGATTTAACTGAGGATGGAAGACCCACCCTGAATGTGGGCAGTGCCATCCCATCAGATGGGGTCCAGGATTGAATGAAAAGGTAAAAGGATATCTTATACATAACCTTTCTCAGTGCATTCACTTTGGAAGAGTTTATTAGTCTTCTGATTAGCAGTCCTGACATTTAGACTATGTAATAAGATATATGTAATGGTAGATTGCCAACACACAATGGAAACATTAGTAAAAAGATGGGGGGGCGGGGGAAGAAGCCAGCAGAGCACCAGCATTTATCGCTCTCTGCTTCCTGACTGGACACAGTGGGACCAGCTGCTTCAAGCTCCTGTGTCCACCACGCCTTCCCCGCCATGACGGGCTGTACCCTCAAGACAAGAGCCGAATAAGCCCTTCTTTCCTTAAGCTGCTTTGGTCAGGTATTTTGTGACAGCAATGAGGCAAGTAGAGGATGGATGCATGTACACAGGGAGAACACAGGCACACCTGTGTAGAGCACATCTGGCCTGGCCACTGTCTCCGTTTCAGGAAGACAGAGCATCCTTGTGGATGAAGAGGGACTGCTACAGTTTTACATAGAAAGATCAGACTGTTCAGGGGGCACATTATCCTCTTCCCTCCCAAGGCAGCTGAAATCAACTGGGACCCATCGGAGAGCCAGATTCCCAACCTTTAGGTCACAGCATGCCTTCCTCAGCTCTCAGAGGAGCTTGATCCCAGAGCTGGGCAGGTCCTCCCCTCACCCAGGGTCTGGGCTGTGAGAAACCCCAGGGAATTGCTTCTATCTCTGAGCCACCAGACCTCCAGTTCCTGGCTTCCCTCCCTCCTTGCTGACCTCCCCCAGCTTATAAGCCAAGGTCAAACCCCATCATCCTTGCCAATAGTGCCTCAAGGCCAGATAACCCCAAAGACGTGCCCCCCGTGCCCCCAGGCACCCTGGAGAAGCGACACAAATGTTTGGGTGGTGCATTGTACACTCATGACCAGGCTGAATGCCAGCACCGGATTTCCCACCCTGGCCTCAGAGCTTATCCCAAGCTCCTTAGCCAGCTCTCCCATGTTGGCAGAGAACCTCTGCTCCAAATCTAGGGGGAAGAGACAAATGGTTGCCTCCTGCCTGTGTCCCCCGCCTGTGCCAATGCCCACAGCTCTGCCTCGCGGGCTTGCCCATCCAAGGCCACTTTCCCTGCCAAGCCCTCTGTTCCACCAGCCTGCGTCACAGCCCTGTGCAAGCCACTTCCTTACTCATGATGTATCTCTGCTGTCAAGTCTCCTTACTTAGAACTGATGGCGTGGAGAGACCCCGTCTGTGTTGTCCAGTCCCTGGGTTGCTAAACCCCAATAGTGGTGGCCCACAGCAGGTGTCTCATGAGCCTTTGGCAATCATCTGGTACGAGACTCCCTGGGGAATTCATGATTGGTTCCCACCATCCCTCCGTTCTGGAGCCTGTACCTTCTCACCTTGACCGCAGCATGGAGTCCTTCTCTCTGTCACTTCTTGGCAGAGTCTGAAGCACACTCCCTCCTGTTCGTACCCACGGCACCTAGCACAGCTCTCTCAAATTATGTAACTTGCAGATGCTTTCCAGATGATCAAAGAAAAAGCAAAAATGACAGGCAGCTGTGTGCCATGCTGGTGGGTACCAATGAGGGAGGCCACTGCTGAACGTCTTTTGGGGTTGGGGGGGTCACAGAGCCCTGCGCAGCCCTGCAGAGAGTCCAGAGTAAAGCTCAAGGGCAGCCTGGGTCAGCCAGGGGCCCCAGACCTGCTCTGTCCACATCTGTACAAGGCAGAGCATCCCAGGTACTGCTCTGCCTTGTGGAAGGAGCCAGAACTTTGCTCCTGCTCTAGTTGATTGTGTCTTCCCAAAGTTCATCTGCTAGCACTTAGTCCCCAAATTCCTCTGTGGAATCGGGGCCTCTGAGATGGAGTTGGGACAAGATGAGGTCAGGAGGGCAGGGCTCCCACGATGGCTCTAGTGGCTTTATAGGAAAAGCCAGAGGCCTGAGCTGGTACCCCTGCTGTCCCATCATGTTACCATGTTATGACGCAGGAAGAGGCCATCAGGGGAAACCGACACCCCACTCTCCATCCTGGCTCAGCATCTCAGAACCATCAGCCAAACAAGCCAGAAGCCAGCCTCAGTGACCAAGGCACCCTGAAGGAACAGCAACTCCTTTGTCTCTTGAACTTTGTTACAGCAAGAGAAAACAGGTTGATAGTCCCCAGTTGCTTGGTACAGCTGATGAACCGGTGGAAGCTGGCACTGATAGATAGATGCAGTTCCCTACCAGGAGACATAGGCAGTTTCTTCCCAATGTGCCCTGCCAGGGCAGGTGGCCACCCGCTAGCAGTATGCTTTTCTTTTAGAAGCCTCCCTTCCAGTAAGTACTGACGCTCCCCTTTAGGCACTTGCTGACCCTCACGGACATTGGCCCCATACAGTGCCCTACCTCCAGCTTCCTTATGATTTCAGAGCATAAGTTGTGGGCGCAGGCATCCATATGCCTTATGGGCCTGCTCAACCATCGAGCAAAGCCCACGGCCACATCGGTGGCTCCTCGCGAGCACTGACAGCCAGTGCGGTGCTAGAGCACTTGTCTCATACGTGCAAGGCCCTGAGTTCCTGGCACTACAAAGGAGACAAATGGAAAATAAACTCCTCACAGTCTTTATTTACTGCCGGGGACTGTGAAGTTGTACAGCCAGTGCTGGAATTTAGTGTAGAGGGTTCTCAAAACAAACAACAGCAACAAGTAACCCAACAACTAACCTAAAAATAGAACCGCAGCATGTCCCAGCTATACCACTCCTGTGCAGTGGGAGAACTCCCAGTCATACAGCTATTCCCTGTTCATACCTGTGCTATTCACAACAGGCAGGAAATGGAGTAGCCTCGACGTCCACCAACAGACCAACGGGTAATGAACATGCGATGCGTATGGGATCTTATTCGGCTGTGAAGAAAAATGCAATCATGACATCTGCAGCCAAGTGACTAGAACTGGAAAATATTATCTCACATGAAATACCCAGAAAGACAAATACCACGCTTTCTCATATGTGGAGCCTAGATTTTCACTTTTACATGTGTATGTATGCCTGTGGGGTATAAGCCATGAAATTAGAGAGAGGGAAAAGAGGTCATGGAGAAACTGAAGTGGGGGAGGGGGCAACCAAATGCAGGAGACGGGAGAGGCCGGAGACTAGGAGAGGGCGAAGGGGGACCAGTGGAGGGGGAGGACACGGGGAATAGAGGAGTGTGGGAAGATCTGAAGTGAAACCTATTACTTTATATACTAATCTAAAGTAAATAAATAAAATGATCCAAAAGATAAAAAATAAATAACACACATACAAAGATTCACTACAAACAGAAACCGTCTGAGCTCTGGAATCACAGGCCATTGGCCCACGATTAAGTACTACTGGTGTGTGTATGAAAACCCCCAAGTCTACCCAGCTCTGGAGCCGCCACTCCAGAACCCACAGGTGCCTCCTGCTCTCGTCCCAAGGTCCCCAGGACCTCCATTTCTTCCTGTTGGGAATAGAGGGTCCTGGTTGGCTTTGTCATCTTCATGGTTGGTCAGTTGGGCCCTGGCTGCTGACCCAGGCCCTGCCTGAGTCAAGCAGGGGTCTATGCCCAGGCAGACTCCAACAGAGGCATTCTGGAATAAGTGCCTCCCAGGGAGGCAGTATGGAGGTGGGAAGCTGTAAAGGTCAAGGTCAGGTGGCTTCTAGGTGGCCCTGCTCAGCAAGCTCTTAGACCATCACTGGGACCATTGGGTTCCTGCCCTAGTGGATGCTGTCATTCCAGGCCCAGGCTGTCACTTCTGCCTCAGCACCCACAAGGGTTTGTCAAACCTCCCAAGTAAGGTAAGGCCAAACAGACTAAGGTGGGTGCCAGTCTGGAGTGGTTCATGTCATTTTCTCATCACGGAAACCACCAGGGCAAAGACATACAAAACGAAGACAAACAGGGCTCAATCAGGAGGATGAAGAGGACCTTCGGCACTAGGAGGGGTGGGCCAAGAAAAAAGCGCTTTGTCCAGCCCTCAGTGATGCGGGGAAGCTGCCCTTCCCCCCAGTTAAAGAGTGCAGCATGGTCTGCACAGCCCAGGACAGCAGGTGCACCCCAATTTTGTCTCAGGGATACTGCAGGACTCCAGGCCTGTTGATTTATGTTCAGAGGGAAGGACGTAGCCTTGGCAAGCACAGCCATGAATTTGGGAGGACCGCTTTCAGCATCCAGCTGGGGGTTCCAGCCCGTGTGCAAAACCGACCTTCAGGGCAGGTACGAGAATTCCAAGTGGAACAGTGACTCCCATTTCCCCCAGACAGTAATGCTATTCCAAGAAGGTGCCTCACCTGCACAGTAAGGCACGTGGGGCCTGCTTCCGCCTCAGTGTTAGGTGAAGACTTTCTGAGTCATTTGCTCACATCTCTAGAAGCACACGCTAGGTGTTCCTTTCCTCTTCAAGTGTCAGTGCCAGAGAACCCGAGGGAAAGCAAAGGTGCTTGAAGGAAAGGCAGTCTCTGGGGGCCAGTGACAGCCATGTGGGGCAGAGGCAGTTTCAGGAGGGTGCCAGGTACCAGCACTCCCAGGTGGGCCTGTTCCTCCCTGCTTCTTGTCTTTGTGGGCACAGCAAGTTCCTCCCCTAGGAGCTGGGAAGGGACAGACAGTATGGTCACTGCTGGCACAGGGACAGCTCAGGTGGGTGGAAGCCCTGGGGCAGTGTCTTACACTGGGACCAGTCTTTACTTTGTACTGATGTTGGCAAACACAGAGCTTTCGAAAGGGTCTGGCTAGACAGTGGGTGGGAAGCTGGGGAAAGATGCTAAGTCACAGGAAGGGGGCCCAGCCGGTAAGATCAAGAGGGTGGCTTCTTACCCTTCTGTTTAGTTCTCCTTGGAAGGGAGGAGGGTGTTGGGACTCCCAGGAGCAAGAAGAACAATGGAAAGCTGCTCAGCTAGGAAAACTAAAAATACTCCAAACTCTTGGTGTATGAACCTGGGACAAAACAAGGGAGCGCTCTGAAAGACCAAGGGGATTCTGGGACTGTTAGTGTCCTTGAATGCCTTTCAAAACACACTGGCCCCGGAGAGGTCCCCGAACAGCAGCGTGGAGGGGTGTGGCTGAAATCCTGGTGGGGCTGAGGGCACAGCCTGCACCAATTTTGATGAATTCTTGCTCCCTGGACCTCCTTCTCTGACACAAGGAGAAACCACCCTAGGAGAGATGCGGAAGTTAAGCTGCTCCAAACTGCTGCCTTCCTTGGAGAAAAGCCTGTCATCCTCATTGCCTTCCCTTTAGAACACATCTTGCTTTCTGATGGGTGTGAACACAAAGCCAGCCGACAGCCGAGACACACAAAAGAAGTCACACACATCATGCCAGTGCCCTCTCTCCACCCCATCCCCCCTCTTTAATGGGCCCTGCTTCCAGGAAGGCCCCCTCAGGGTCAGCCTCAAGGTCCCAGTGGCCCTGAGCCCTAGGCTGCCTGGAGACAGCTTGGGGACAGACAGAGTGGGCCAGCTGGCAGACAGCACTAGCTGCCAAGCGAGCAGGCAGAGTGCCCAGTCTTCCGAGGGAGAGGTCCTGGCTGCAGCGGACCCCACCTATCGGCCCTGGGTGGGGGTGCAGGGGCTGGGTCCTTCCGCCGCCTGTGTCCGGAGCACCCTTCCTCTTCAGCTGTCCCTAGGACGCTGTAGGATGGGGTGCTGGGGCTGGCCTGCAGGAGGAACCCCAGGATGCAGTACTGCAGGCTTTCCTACGCTTCAGGCTTCCAACCTGCTGCACGCTCGCAGATGTTCTTTCCGAACAAAAGTAACTAGTGCTCAACCGGCCGGCCTTTCCCGGGGCTCCGGCCCTCTCTGGGATGGCGTGAGGGTCACCCCCACCCGGGCCGGGGCGCCCGGCCGCACCCTCGTGGCCGGAAGAGCGGAGCGAGTCGTCCAGGGTCACAGCGCCAGAGCGCCGTGCTGCAAGGCCGGGGGCCCAGGCCCACCCTGCGGCGGCCCGAGGACACGCAGGGAGTCAGATCCCGCGAGCTGCAGGGACGCAGGCCCGGCCTCCTGCCGTGTGGACGGCGCGGGGTCGCCCGGAGCTGGCCCTTCCCCGGGTGCGAGCCCCGGCGCCGCGGGAGGGTCGCTACAGTGTCGCCCGCGCCCGGCAGGGGGAGCCAGTCGGCGCGGGAGGGCTCCGGCGCCCGGCCCTGACGTCACCGCCCGCGGTCTCCACGGCGACGGCCTCTCCGGAGCGCGCGTCAGAGCCTCAGTCTCTTGGCAACCGCCCGATCTCCGCTCCCCCTCCGCTGGCGCTGGGCCGCGCGTCGTTCTGGCGTCAAAGCCACGTCAATGGGCGGTGCCCCCCGCGGGGGGCGGGCCGGGGCGGGGCCTGCGCGGGGCGGGGCAGGGGC